GAATGGTGGGGCCACCAGTAGCATGCACCCCCAGCCTGGAAAAGCCACAGGCACCCGACTGCTACCCATGAGAACAGCCACATGGGTTGTGCCCAGCAAAGCCTGCCTGAGGCCTCGGGGAACTATCCCTTGTACCAGTATGCCCAGGATGTGGGACATGGAGTCAAGGGAGATCACTTTGGAGCTTTAAGATTTAATGTCAGTCCTGCTGGTTTTCAGACATGCATGGGACCTATTGTCACTTTCTTTTGGCTGATTTCTCCCTTTTGGAATGGGAATGTTTACCCAATGCCTCTACCACCATTTTATCATGGAAGTAAATAATTTTTTATTTTAAGGCTCACAGCTGTAAGGAACTTGCCTTCAGTCTCAGATGAGATTTTGGTTTTTGGAATTTTGAATTGATGCTGGAATAACTTAAGACTTTTGAGGACTATTGGGAAGGGGGATTGTATTTTGCAATGTGAAAAGGACATGAAATTTAGGGGGACAGGGATGGAATGACATGGTTTGGATGTTTGTCTCCTCCAAATCTCTTGCTGAAATTTGATCCCCAGTGTTGAACGTGGAGCCTGGTGGGAGGTGCTTGAGTCATAGGGACAGATCCCTCATGAATGACTTGGTGCCCTCCCCAGGATAATGAGTGAGTTCTCACTTTAGTTCAAGGGAGAGCTGGTTGTTTAAAGGAGACTGGTACCATCTCCTCCCTTTCTTGCTCCTTCTCTTGCCATGTGACACGCCTGCTACCCCTCCCCCCTGACTCAATTAGAAGCTCCCTGAAGCCCTCACCAGAAGCAGATGTTCGCACAATGCTTCTTGTACAGCCTGCGGCACCGTGAGCCAAATAAACCTCTTTTCTTTATAAATTACCTCCAGTATTTCATTTATAGCAAAGCAAAACAAACACAAGGGAAAAGCCTTTTTTTGTAACTCCACCACCACATTGTTATTGACCTTGTACTAAAATGCCTAGTTCCATTTTCCTGCCTTAGGAACTGGTGATGGGAATGGGATCTCCTAGTTGAGGAGTGAGGCTGGCAGAGCCTAGGATGCCCCATCACTCAGGGACATCAGCCTCTGTCCGGAATCCTGAACATGTAGCTAGAAAAGGGTTAGCCCTAAACCCAGAATGTTTGGAGGATGGGGGCAGATTGGAACATGCAGATTTGACAGTGGTATGCCTCTTCCCATTCAAACTATTGGCTTGGCAGAAATTTTGAGTTTCAGTGAATTTAAATCTAGTTAGACTCAACTTTCCTTAGCACTAAAGGCTAAAATATCAAGGCACTGTCCAGGGTGGGCTTCAGCAACTCTTATGTCCCAGCAAGACAAGCCACAAACTCCTTTGGCCCCATGACTAGGCCTCCCTTGCCATAAAATCTTTTTAATTCTCAAGAGGTTCCAGAGAATGAATTACTCCTTACCCATGCTTGAAGAAAAACGTCTAAAAATCCAAAGTGTTCCTACTAATTAGTTAATGCAGCCTAAAGATGGGCTTTTCAAATAGGTGGCTTTTAAAGGAAAAATATCCCTATTTTTCCCTTCTACTTTCAAACACAGAATACTTTGACCCCAGATTCTCTGGCAGCCACTAACTGGGTGTCCTATGATTTAACTGAATCCTGACCCTATTTCCCTGGAGATAGCATCAGGTCCCACAGTTTAAGGGCTCAGTCCCACAAGACTGCCCCCTCACTTTAGATGCCAGTCACAAGTACTAGGTTGTCACCTACACTTCTAACAGACTGACTATAAATCAGAGGGTTCCATGACCCCCTCCTCAGGTTCAATTAATTTGCTAGACTGGTTCACAGGACTCAGAGAAACACTTATATTTACCAGTTTATTATAAAGGATATTGCAAAAAATACAGATGAACAGCAAGTGGAAGAGATACATAGGGCAAGATATGAGGGAGAGGGAGCAGAGCTTCCTTGCCCTCTCCAGGTGCACCACCCTTGAGGCACCTCCAAGTGTTCAGCAATCCAGAAACTCATCAAATTTTGTTTTTCAAGAGTTTTAATAGTTCTGATGTCCTATTTCACAGTAGAGTGACTACAGTCAACAATAAGGTATTATATATCTGAAAATAGCAAGAAGAGAGGATTCTTGTATGTTCTCAGCACAAAGAAATGATAAATGTTTGAGGTGACAGATATCCTTATTACCCTGATTATTTGATCATTACACAATGTATACATGTATCAGAACATCATACTGGCCCCCCAGAGATATATACAATAATTATGTGTCAATTAAAATTTTTTAAAAATTTAAAAGACTTTTATAGAGTTTAACCTCTGGCCCCACATCACCACCTTTCTTGGAGGTTGGTGAAAGTTCCAACTTTCCAATCCTCTAATACTCTAATCACTTGGTCTTTCAGGTGACCGGTCCCACTCCCAGTCACCTCATTAACATAAAATCAGATGTGATCCAAGGGGCTCATTATAAATAAAATATACTCTTATCACTCAGGAAATTCCAAGGGTTTTAAGATCTCTGTGACAGGAACTGAGGGCAAAGACCAAATATATTTCTTATTACACCACAGGGCTGTTTTCTGCAGTATGACTTTAACAGGGTTCAATTTTATGATGCTCAGCTTCCCCCCATGAGTAGCATGATACTATCTCTAGTAAGGAGGTGAACAGCAGCTGGATAGCTGATGGTCAGTTGTCAGGACCTTAAAATTTCTTTACCCTGATGCCAAGCATAGCATTAACAGCAAGGACACGGTGCAATTCCTTAGCTAGACTTGCATCCAATGCTTGGAAAAACTGAAAGCATCTTAAAAGTAGATAGAAACAAAGCCATAAGCCTGGTAGTTCAGAGCTTGGCAAATAGACCATGCTCACCAAGGGTGAGCTGAAGGGAGGGAGTGCAGTATTAATTTCTCTTAAGATATTTTAGCAATAGGAGATAGCTTCTCCCATTGTGGTTTGAAATCTCAATAGCACATAGATTTGCATGTTGTATTTTTCTATTAACCACTTCGGTACCGCACTGACTGGCCGCAAAACCTTGCCCACAGCTGGCACTCATAGTCTGCACAATAGTTTGTGCTATGCATCGACGACAAATCTGTTTTGCTCTTGTGTGATGAGGAAAGCTTTAAAGCACTGAAAGCTTGTTTTACTTTACAGGCAGCTTTACTTGTAATGTAAATCAGAATAGGTAACATATACATATATGTTTTCATTATGTTATTTTTAAATGTTCACAATTTTATTTTGATAAATGAAAAATTAGAAAAGTCATATCACTGCTGTCAGCTAAAGTCAACACTCGGCTGTGCGCCTTCATATCACGGCTGTTGACTAAAGTCGCTGTGCGTATTCATCTGTGGCTATCTACTATAGTTGACGCTGGTACCAAAGTGGTTAAGACATTAACCATTCAATATACCAAACCAATCCTTTTTTTCCCTCTGAATGTTTGGCTTAAGAATAGGAGAACCAAGTGGAGATATCAGATGGCTTTAGTTTTCAGAAATATGCCATCCATTGCCATGGGCCATCTTGTCATCATAATCTTTAATGGGACCTTTAATGCCATCCTTGTTCTGAAGCCCGGCTGGAGTTAGGTTATTCTGAGCCACTGCAGCCCAGAACACCAAAGTGCCCATGCAGCCCTTGCCTCATCTGCCTGTGTTTTCCTTTGGCCTGGCTTTGTTTGGCCTGCTATGGGCCCCTGTCATCCACATTCATTTTGTAGTCCCCATTTTCTAAGGTCTGTTTTTTATGAGGTTTTCCAAAACTTTTTTTTTGCCAGATTCAAATTCTGCATAGCACATCATCAAGAGCAGTTTTTCCAAATGTCTGTTAAACAAATTGAATAAACATAGTCCATGTAACATTTTTTTGTAGGGCATGTTTTATATTTTCAATAAAGATGTAAAGTCTCTGTACAGTCATCCCTTGGCATAGGCAGGGGATTGATTTCAGGATCCCTGCAGATACCAAAATCCATGCATTCTCACTCAAGTCCTTCAGTTGGCTGTGCAGAACCTGCTTATATGAGAAGTCGGCCCTATGTATCTCAGGTTTTGCATCCTGCAAATATGGTATTTTCTATTCACATTTGGTTGCAAATGCAGAACCTGCAGATATAGAGGGCCAACTGTATTTATTGAAAAAAAATCTGCATGTAAGTATACCCATGCAGTTCAAATTCATTTTGTTCAAGGGTCAACTGTTAATTGTTTTGTGTGCCAAATGGAGTATGGATAAGAATTGCTAAGGAAAAGTCATTCAAACAGAATTGCAAGGAAGCCTCATTTCATGAGGTGAAATCCCCGAGTCACCATCAATAGGCCCTGCATATCTCAGATACATACCTGTGCAAAATGGGGGCAGGGAAAGTCCCTAGTAAGAGAACAGTTTGTTTCAAGACAGGGCCCATCTCTAAAGGAATCTTCCTAAGAAGCTACTCGTAGGGCTTTATGGGAAGCTGGCAGCCAAATATCCATCTGGTATGTTCCAAAATCTGTTCACTATTCTTTCCTTTTTATGGAGGACATAGGGAAATAGGAGCCATTCTGGTCCAAAGGTCCTCTGCATCAAAAGAAACACAAGAGGAGACTCCATGAAAGCCAGAGTGAGGCTGTTATCCCTTTTCTCCCCTATCCCCAGCACAGGAGGCATATTATTACACCTTCCCCAGCTCAAAAGGTGACAATTATACATTCAAATGTATTTTGTCTCATTCAATCTCCTTGAGAGGACTCTAGTTTCTGATGATTAAACAATAAAAGGGAACCTTTTGGTTTAGTGCTGTTGGAATCAAGAGGAATGAAATAGTCCCTTGATTAATATTCCAGATTAACTGATCATCAAAAAGCTGCAGTCTTGGCTGGGTGTAGTGGTTCATGCCTATAATCCCAGCACTTTGGGAGGCTGAGGTGGAAGGATTGTTTGAACCCAGGAATTTGAGGCTGCAGTGAGATATGATCTTGCCTCTGCACTCCAGCCTGGTGATGGAGACCGTGTCTCAAAAAAAAAAAAAAAAAAAAAAAGAAGCAGCAGCAGTCACACCATCAGACCTTGGCTTTCTTCATGCTGTCTTCCTTACTTGAAACTGCCATGCTAGAAAACAACAAAAATAAAAAAATGGAATGTCATAAGAATTGAGCAATTATTGTTAAAGTTTTTAGGCATGGTATTGTTTTTATGATTTTTTTCAAAAAAGGAATGCCCATCTTTTAGAGAAACATGCTGAATTGTTTATAAATGAAGTGTTACCTGGGATGGTTTCAAAATAATTGGAGGCCAGTGGCAACCTCCTACAAGTTGATAATTGTTCAAGCTGGGTGCTGGATACATGGGGGTGTCATTACACTATTCTCTGTACTGTTACATACATTTGACTTTGTCCATAATAAAAATTAAATGAAAAAAAGTGGCCATTTGTGTTTCTTCTTTTCCTTTTTCTCAGCTTTTTTTGATCTCCCTTTTATATCTTTATCTGGAAATTAAAACACATTATAATTGAACAAAATTTTATCTCTGGGGGGGAGGGGGGAAATGGGCATTTATTGAAACCTTAAAATCTGTACCCCCATAATATGCCAAAATAAAAAAAAAATTTATCTCTAAAACTTTAACACTTTTGAGTAAATAAATATGCTTTTGCTGTCCCATTTGTTACAGAAAAGTTAATTCATTGAAACATTTACTGCTATTTGTCAGGAAGTGTACTAGGCACTGGGGACAAAGAAATTAAAGTTATACTAGGTATTAGGTGATATAGGGTATTATTATTAAATAATTTTTATTGTGTGAGATTTTATTACGGTTAGGTAGGAAACTTTTATTTTTAGAGATTCATACACAAATATTTAGGGTGAAAGTGTGATGATATTTGTAATTTACTTTGAATGTCTCAGCAAAAAAACATACTTGAAGCAAATATGTCAAAATACTAACAACTGTTAAATCTGGGTGATAAGTATATAGTATTAATTATACTATTGTTAGGAGCTAAGCTATGGGTTTGCATGGTCATACAGAGTGGTATAATGGACACTGGAGACTCAGAGGGGGGAGGCGGGGAGGTTAGTAATGAAAAATTACCTAGTGAGTACAATGTACACTATTTGGGTGATGAGTACACTAAAAGCCCAGACTTTACCACTATACAATATATCCTTGTAACAAAAAACACTTGTGTTCCCTAAATCTATTGAAATAAAAAATTTAAAAATTATACTATTTCTTTATTTTTCTGAATATTTAAAGATTTTCATGATAAAAAGGGGGGAAATTCTATACATGTGTTAGAAGGTGGAGGGAATGATTTCCAGAAGCTCAGTCTAATGAAGAAGACAGGGAGAGAGATAAATACAATCCAGAGTGACAGAGGGAAGGTTGAGGTACTCTGGGCATACAGAGGAATCTCAAAATCAGACTGATTTGGGGAGGGTGGATGAGGAATAGTTGACCAGGAAAAGGTGACTCTTAAGCTAGTTCTTTTTAAAATCAGTTAATTATAAAAGTAATGCATGTCCAATGTTGCAATGAGTAAGCCAAGCTAGATGAAGGAAGAGGCTGGCATTTAGGCAGAGGGACTTTTTGTACCAAGTAACACAGTTAAGAGAAAGAATGTGGAGTACCATGGAGATAGAAAGTAGTTGTCAGGCTACAGAGGATGGCACAAGAGAGAGTCACAGGGTATATATGTGATTAGAGCAGGATCAATTAGGGTCTGAACTTTACCCTGAAGGGTATGGAGAGCTACTGAAGGCTTTTAAGTAGGGGACTGACATGCTCAGTTTGTGCTCTAAGAAAGCTAAGTTTTCCAGCAGTAAGGAAGTAAAGTAACATTAGGTGCCAGGAAACCTGGGCGATATCAGAGGAAGGAGAGCATTTGTGTAATGTGTCAACCCCAGAGGAGAAACCCTCTAGTCAACCATCAGCCAGAAGAGGGCACAAAAAGGTGGCTTTTTGTGCGGCAGTATCCCAGACATGGAGCCTTCTGTAAATCGGCAGCCAGCCTTAAACGGGTACTTTGTGATGTGCCTTTTTGAAAATTGTAGAGGTGCCCACTGGGCATGAAAATTATGTGAAAGAGATCTTCCACTAGGCTGATGCTATCCAGTAAGCCTTACTTTGGTGCCACACATCTTGCAGCCCAACCCCTTGAGTTGGTCTAGTGCCATGCATGTGCCTTATACAACCATGGACAACCCATCTGAAGTTGAACTGCCTAGGTTTGAATCCCAACTGTATGACCTTATGTGTGGTGATTATAACCTGCTCCCAAGCGCCTCCATTTCTTCATCTATAAGATGTGACCTACAGATATTAATAGATTAAATGGCAATAACAAATATAAAGCACTTATCAGGGTGCCTGGCACAAAGGCAGCAAGTGTTCAAAAATTCTTCACTATTATTATTACTTTCAAGAACCTTCTTCTAAAATAAGTTTTAAGAAGTAAAACTAGTTTTAAAGCAAGGTTTGCATAATGACGTTGGCTTTCTTACCACCAGAGTCTGTTTCAGAACCAGAGTCATTGTCATTATCTTCAGAATACGTCTTATGTTTTCTTTTAGATTATTTTTTTCTTTCTTCCTTTCTTGGACCTTTCATTTGAATAACTAGACTGCTTCTTTTTTCTTCTGTAGAAAACACAAATAAAAATCTAACTTCTAAAGAAGTATTTTATGATATTTGAAATATTGAAAAGGAATAGATGATGGGAACTTTGAGTAAAAGCAAAGTCTAATGTTCAACTCTTCATAAACTTATTTTTTAATTTCTCAAAAAAGGTCTGTATCTTAAAAATACCTCCTGAAGTAGAACCTGAAGAAGCGTTTTTCTTTGGCTCTTCATCCTTTACCAGTGTATGTTCGTCAGAGCTGAATTTAAAGAAAATGATTGTAAGAATGAGAAAAGTGATGGGATATGGACCATGGAGTATAAAAATATACATTTAAAAATTTTCAGTAACGATTGTCCATGAACCATTAAAAGCACTGAACTACTTTTATAAGAGTACAGTTCAAGGGTCTACCACCACCATAATCATGAAATAACTTACATATGCATAATGCTTTGGATATTACAATGTGCTATTGACACTGAAAGCAGCATGGAGGATTTATATTTTCAGAAGAAGCTGCAGGGCACAAGTAGAGAGACAGGAACCATAAGGAAAAATATTTCAAAATAATATAAATGCATTATTTAACACTGAACCCTTCAACCTTTCTGTTAATAGGAAATTCACAGCCCATGAATTAAAATTTAAAGAGAACATATACCAAATTTTAATAATCCACTCATGAATTGACTCAATTCTAAGAAATGGCAGTGAGCCAGCACCACTTATATTATCCTGGATTGAGTTTAAACCCATTACCCAAAGTGAGGTGACACAAGATCAGAAGAATGAGCTCCACATGTACTTGCCATCAAATTGGTACTGACTGATTAACACTATGGTGCTCAAATGGTGGTGGTGTTCACCAGGGATTCGGGGTTGGGGGAGTAGACCCACATCTGAGGGATGTGGTGAGCATTGTGGAGGGGAAGGGCATACCTCTAACCCTTGCTAGAGAGAGGCAAAGATATAAAATGCAACCAACATGTTTGTACTCTCATATTTTCTTGAAATAGAAAAAATTTAAAGAGAACAATTAGCATGCTAACATGCTATTAGCAACATGTTTTAATTCTTAGGTATGTTATACTCTCTTTAATTCCTTTTTAAAAAGGAGTATATTACCTATCTGCTCTTTGGAGGATACCAATTTTGTTTTATTATAATGTTTGTCACTGCTGTTTCTTTCTTTTTCTTTCTTTCTTTTTTTTTTTTTTTTTTTTTTTTTTGCTTTTACTCATAAACTGAAGGAAAAAAAAAACTATCAGGTTCAATTCCCCAAATTTTAGCTGCTTATGTCTCTGTTTTAAAATCCTTACAAAATAAATATATTTTGTTTCACTGTTTGAATAAATCTTTTTAAATTTTTTATTGAGGGGAAACGGTATTATAACTATGCAGAGTTAGATTCAGAAGATCTCCCACTTCAAGAGCAGGCAATCTAAAAGTAGGGATACAAACAATAGTTCTTAAAATATATGAGTATAGGAAATGAGGATGCCTGCCAGACTATAAAGACATACAGTCTTTGTGGTTTAAGGCACAAAATTAAGGCCCAACATTTATGTGCTACCTTGACATCTGGGAAAACTAGGAGGGCTCAGAGTGGCCTAACTGTGCATTTCTCTCCCCACTCTGCTCCTGAAGATTACATCCCAGAGCCAAAAAGCCCTCCTATCAAAGGGACCAGGTGCAGTTTCAGCTTATGCATGGGTAGTGAATTTTAGTACTCTGCTAGCCTGCAGAATTACTCAAGGCAATCGCATCCTCCCAGGGGGAAACAAGAATTATCTCAACATCTTGATACTACAAAGCCCACCTCCCACAGATCCTGTTTGTTCACTCTCTTATCAACAGCAACCCCTGTGTGGCCCTTGGTGGCATGCTGTATCCTCCTTTCTCACTCTGCCAGCTATGAGTATATGTGATTAATAAACTGTTATTGATATCATTTGTCCTGTGTTTGGCCACCCAATAGCACTAGGGTGGGAATCCTTACTTTACCAACAGGGTGAATAGAGATTATTAAAACAGTCCCTGCTGCTACCTGGTTTTATCTGTCCTCTTGAGATATTTATCTTCTATATGCACAAATGCAAATTTCATATAAATTGTTCTTATATCTTTTGATTAGGATTCTAAAGTAAGAAGTTGTTTGTTTTTTGATTGACATAGACTGGGAGTACCTTTCAATCCAGAAGGTAAGAGGGCTTCTCAGAGCAAAAGTGCAGCAGTCTCACCCACCTCTCCCATAGGGGCGAGAGGTATGTCTCCAACCTGTCTCAGGATTGTTTTTTACTGTTGCTGCTTTCAGGCATAAAACCCTAATAGCCGACACTTACAAAATGTTTATTACATTCAAGACAATAAATCATTACAACAACCCTAAAAAACATCAGTACTATTTTAATTTCCTTTTTATAGGTGAAGAAATGAAGCTTGGAGAGGTTAAGTAAATTGCCCAAGGTCACACAGGTATTAGGTGGCAAATCAGGGCTTCAAACTAAGGCAGTCTGAATCCAGAGGCTGTCCTCATCACTACTTTATTACCTCCCAATGCGAGAAGAAAAAGAAACATCAAGGTATCGCCCAATTTTTGAAATTTCAACCTACCCCTCAATATCTGTAATGTTTTAAAATATCTCATTTTTTGACCATAGTGCCCGTAAAGCACTTGTACCTGACACACTCAATAAACACTAGATATGAATACTGACACAGCAATAATTATAACTATTTTCCTTTTCCTTCTGAAACCATATATTTTCCACTCCAATATTCACACTCATTAAAGGAAAACTGAATGATCAGTTCTTCAAGATCAAGATTGAAACCATCTATCAAGACCTTTCTCAAGATAGCTTCATCTGCAGTTTAGCACATCACTTTTCCTACATTCATCCAATTATCTTGTCTCAGAGGAAGGTTTTTCTTTTTTTCAGTTTAATCCTTAATCTCAACCGTTTCCAACTCCCTACAAGGAATTTCCACTTACATATCCGTTTATGGTCTCAAGCCAATCTGTTCATTCATTTGACACACACAATGGTTGAGTGTCTGCTACGTGCCAGGTGCTGAGAAATCTGTAATGAATAAAATAGGACTCCTCCTTTCCATGAGCTCAGTCTAGTGGAGAATAAAAACAAAAAAGAAATGGTCTGCAACCCTTGGCCATGTCCGCTCCAAGATCAGAGGTGGAAGAGAGTGGAGGGAGACCGGGACAGTCTATGAAGGGGCTCAAGGATGAGTGAGAATTTAAGGGAAGAAAAGGGCTGCCATAGCTAGATTGAAGAAAAGGATGAAAATGGGCGCAAGAATGGTAGAAAGAGCGAAATGTGAATGGTCAGAAGCGGAATGAAAGATGAAGCGCTCTCCGAAGGCAAGTGGGCTCCTCCGGGTGGAGGCGCGGTGGTCTCACTCACCTCTGCCACGGGCTGGCCTCCCTCCCCCTGTGCAGGAGGCTAGGCTCCGGCCTGTCGCTCCCGTAGGGGTGCGAGCAGTTGCCGCAATAGGCGGACGAGGAGGCAGAAGCAAGGGGGTGCTCCGCGGCGCCGAGGGCCACTCTTAAGAATGGGACCACAGGCGGGAGCGGCAGGGCCGCTTTGGGGATCCTTGGCTGAGGCCATTCGGTTCCTCACACGGAGAGCAAGAGCGCGCGCGAGAGCTGCGGCCCAGCGGGGAGCGGGTGGCTTTGCTAGGCTTGCGGCTCCTGGACTTCGAAGGACTGCAACACTTCCCCTAGGAGCCCGAGGCCTCCCTCTCAGTACTGCAGAACAGGGGACTGGAGCTGCTGCAGCTTCGAAAAATGGGGACGCTCTCAAGAGCCTCGGAAGAGTTCAGTTGCCAGCTCTTAGAACCCGCCCCGCGCCGCCCGCGCAACCGCTGAAGCAAAGGAAACCATGGAAACGGCTCGCAGTACGTTGGCGAAACCGTTCCCTAGGTCTGCGTGGCCTCCAGCCGAGGTGAAGGGGTGTGTGTATTAGTGTAAGGAAGCCGCTACCACAACCGATTTCGCTCATCCTTTGGTTCCGCGTGAAGCTCACCAGGTCTAAATCAGACTGGGGACCACGTCTTCGTCAGCCTCATACTAGAAATAACTGAAGGGAAGAACGACGGACCAAGGATACATTTCACTGAATGACCGTATCAACAGTACAGTCAATTCTGTTCGTATTTTGGGTGTTTCCGTGCGTGTATTACATATTCTATAATATTGGGTGCTTACTGTGTCTTATGTGTGTATATGCATGTGTGTATACTATATTCATAGTTATGTGTGTATATATGTACATATATAATAAATAGGAATGGCTCCAATAGATTTACATATCTTTTCTGAGTCTATTTGAATTAAAAGAAAAACCTAAATGAGATGGGAAGAGAGGGATAAAGTATTCAAAGTGTTTCCTACACAACTGACAGTGTGTTTATTTCAGTGTCATCAGATTTATCAAAAAGAAACTATACAGTAGCTACACCCACTTACATTTAAATTTCAGATAAAGAACAAAAAATGTTTTAGTATAAGTATGTTATGTACAATAATATCACAGTATTAAATGACTACTTTCTATTAAAGATAAGGTGATAGCCACTGTTGTACTTCTTCCCTCCTCTCCCACCACTTCTAAAATGTGTTCCTTATATTCTAAGGCTTTTCACTTGGTGTTTGAGAAAAGGAAGTTGGGGCAGCCCCCAATATCCAGAAACTGGCATAGCACTCACAGGCATGTTCTTCTCTTATGGGACATAAACTCACAAAACATCAACCGAAGACAAGATTACTTAGAAGACTGACCAAAAGAGACAAAACAATGTCACTTCATAATTTTATCTAAGCACAGAAACAAGGTCACTGTGCCACCCATAAAGCACCAAACACACTCTTTCTTGGCCAAGATAGGTGACTGCTACTATGTCAGTTACAGTACAACTTTATTCTCGTGCTAGTGTGCCCTCGCTGTAAATAAGATTTATTGAGATGCACAATCATACACTTGCCCCTGCTTTCTGAGAGCATCTGAGCTAGAGCAAATTCCTGCTTCCTTAGACCTTCCCCTAAATCACCCAAATGCTACAATAGGTTCTTTCCAACATCCTCTTGCTAATAAGCATCATAGTTCCCTATGGTTTGTGTTCTCGTACTCCCTCCCTGTAAAGAGTAATAAACCCAACTTGTCAACTATGAGTATGTTTCTGGTGGTCTTTGGTTGAAGGGCATTGGTAATGTTCCACTGCCTCAAATGTCATTTTCCAGATATTTGCATGGCCCTTTCTATTAGTTCATTCTATTCTTTGCTCATAAATCACCTTTTCAGAAAGGCTGTCCCTGACTACACTGTCTATAATAGCACCCTCATCATACTCTGTCTCTTTACTCTATTTTTCTTCATAGCACTTATTACTATCTGGTATTATATTATATATTTAGATTATATATGTATATATATATATATACACACATGTTTATTGTATGTCTCTTCCATTAGAATGTAAGTTTCATGAAGAC